GACAAATATTATCGTAAAAATTTTGATTGTTCTAGTAAGATAGTTCGAATGATCCCAAGTATACCGACAGTAAGGAGAGTAGAACTAATTAAGGGCACCCAACTGGTATTCTGATTTTCCCTAAAAAAAAACTAATATTCTGAATCTCTGATTTCTTAACATTAACTTATGTAACGCATAACAAATCATACACAAATGAAATGCCAGCATGCTAAAGGGGATTTAAAATATTAAGATAGGAATCGGTTGCCTATTGGAGTACCCAAAATTAATTGGGTCATAGGAGCAGATGGCAATAGTTTCATATAGCACAAACAATCTTAATTAAGAAAGCAAATGTTGTTTTAATGATGTTTCAGTTTTAACATGGAGAGTAATCCAACTATTTATAAACCATTGCAAACTCTATTTTTTTTCCGATTTAAGATTCATATTCTCAACAATTTACAAATTAGGATACAAGTTTGTTCTAGTCCGGCAGAGAATGCTATGCTACTGCATGCGTCAAAAGTTGAAACGGAGAGAAATGACAACAACTTGGTTTCGCCCAGCATCTTCATAGTGTCCTTAAAAGACAAAAACAAAAATCAAAAGAGGGGAGTGTTTTAAGAGGCCTCTTTCTGTTTTTGTTTATGTTGAAATTGGGTAAAAGAAGTTGAAGAAGCTCAAAAGCTTAAAGAGTTAGTTGTGGAAATTGGGACCAAAAGCACAAACATAGAGTTAATTCTTATCCACGGCTTTTCTTTTCTCATGTTATCAAGAGTCGAGTTGCTTCAACTGGTCATATAAATTAATTGAAGATAAAAGAAAACTCACATGGTGGTGAGTACACAACTGTACAAGTAACATGTGGTTAAACTAATGAAGGATAATCCGTTTACTTAACAAATCTAATGTGAATTATAACTAATGCAATCCTCCGATTTAGTAATTTATACACAAACATACGAACACACACACGCACACGCACATACATGAACACTGAAAGAGTAAAAAGCTATGCTAGGAGCAGAAGGGGAGGGAGTGACTGTGGACTATAGTAAGCTTTCAGTTTTTAACAGGAGGGAAAGGGAAGGGTGGTAGGAACAGCAGAAAATGTCGTCAATCCTTAAAAGTCGAACGTCGACCAAGAAGAAAAGAAAAGGCAAACAAAAGCTCAAAAAGTAGGTATAGGACCACAATACATATAGGCCCCCATTCAAATGAGTTCCCCCTTTGCATAATACGTGTGTACCACTACTAGCAGAGAGGAGAAGGCCTGTTTCTGCTTAGGATTAACAAAAGAGGCTTCAAAGCTTCAATTGACAATTCAGGAAAATAATGGACCCCAAAAGTAGAGACCCTTCTCAAATTTGGGCTAAAAGCTAGTTCTCCAATCCAATCCATTTACTAAGCTCTTCAATGCTGAGGACTTGCACTTGCTGCAGGAGAAAAACTTCCACCTTGTGCACCCACAAATATAAAGCTACAGAATACAAGAGAAGTTAAAATAAGAAACTTTCCCGGACTTTTCTCATGCTCTCTCTCTCTCTCTCTCTCTCTCTCAGGAAGAAGAAATAAGAATCTTCCCATATATACAAAAAGCAACAAGGACACAACTACCGTAATCTATTTTTGTCCCGATATTAATTTCATTACTTTCAATTCAAAACTTAATTGCGTTCTTAATTTCATGATCGAGCGGTGTTTATGCCTTTCAGCCTTGCTTTGTGAGGTTTATTTTTTTGGAAGGGTCTTTAATAAAAAGCTAACTAGCTCAACAAACCAGACTGGAAACCATAAACCACATTTCTGGTAAAAAAAACATTCGAAGATGGATCAAGAAAACCAATTTTAAACATAAGTACCTTAATTTCTGTTTCTTGCTTGCTAGCCCCTCTATGCTTTAAAAAAGTAACTAATACCAACTACCGAAAGGAATTATAATGCAAATCTAGAGTCTCCAGCCCAGATGGAAACCGGGAGGCGGTAGTCCGCTGCAATCGCATAGAAAAAAGTAAATGATTTTTAAATTAAAAGATGTATTTAATTAGGATTTTAAAGATGTTTAGTATTAACTGGCGATTTTAAATGATTAAGTGAAAGATTTTCAAGCAAAATAGAGAGATTTTACAGTGTATTTAAGAATACCTCTAGATATCAATAAATTGAAAAGAAAAAAGAAAAAAAAGAGTAAAGGTTCGCTCAATCTTGCTTCCACGTTGCTTTATTGGTTGAATCTGTTGATAAAATATTTCGCACAAATATTATTATTCACTTTTGATGTACCTATGGTGCGGTGGCAGCCGGTGCTCCGAGCGGTGCCTAACCAAGTGATAATTGCAGAGAGATTCCAACGTAATTTGAATCTTGAAGATTGAGCTTTGTTTTTATTGTTTGTCGTTTTTCGCATACCAAACATTGTTAGTCAAATCTCAAAAGTACACATTGAAAAATTAGTACAAATAACTTTTCTTGGATGGCTAAATGATCTTAAGTTGAAAATTTTTTACAAATATAATCTTTAATTACATGATGATAAAGAAGATAAACAAGTTGAATAATCTTTTACAAATATAATCTTTAGTTACATGATGATAAAGAAGATAAATGGTTAGTATGGTCGAGATACATTAATCATAGATGAAAAAATAATTAGGTACCTCCTTATGAACACAAGATTATCTATAATTTATAACTAACCACTCCACTTCTTAAGAAAACTCCCCATCTCTTTTTTATCTCCTGCATGCATATCGTCAAATACATTCCAACTTTCTTGATCAACAATGACCTAGATGAACAAGAGAAACCATTACAATTCGGTACGATTGTAGCGGTACGATTGAATCGATATATAAGTTTCGGTATGAATGCATCGATACATAAGTTTCAGTACGAATGTATTGGTACATATGCTTCAGTACGAATGCATCGGTACATAAGTTTCAATACAAAAATCGGTACTAAGTTTCGATACGATTGCTTCGGAATATAAGTTTTGATACGAATGCATTGGTACATAAGTTTTGGTACGAATGCATCGGTACATACGTTTCGGTACGAATACATCGGTACATAAATTTCAGTACGAATATATGGTACATAAATTTTGGTACATACATAAGTACGTAATATGCATATGTATACACACACACACACGTATGTAATATGCATATACATATGGAAAAAGTTTCGTTCAACCTGATTTTGCTTGTTATTTTATTAGTCTCTACAGGTAAAATATTTGCTTGAATATTTTTATCATATTTCCCTGATCACCTTTTATATTTCTAATTAATAATCAAGGAAATATTGTGGTATGTGTACAATGTGAAGTCGAAGCAGTGAATTGTGATAACCCCGCCATATGTAAATGCAACGCGGCTGGTTTGTGTGTAGGGAAGTGGATATACTAATGTCTGAACCCTCATCTGCATACTCGAAATAGTTTCGTTCAGACCCTAATGAGGAAACCTGTAATCACAAGTCTTTAATTCTCTCATTAGATTCTTGAACTATTTGTGCTGGCCTATTAAAGCACACAAGGTACACATGTGAGGGTGAGGACTATTTGAATAAATAATAGAAGTTTTACGTTTTGCGTGCATGCATATCAACAAAAATACGCTAAAAAACAAAGTATTACAATTTTGATGCTTCAAAATAAAAGTTAAATTGGAAATTTGACGCGTTTTAATTCTTTTTTATATATAAAGAGAAGTTGGCATTAGCTTTATATTGATTCACTATGCCAGGCAAACTCATGGAGCAGGCTTCTATTGAGGACTTGTCCTCTAACCCCATAATACCTTTGAGTCCCCTATTTTATGGAAGTACTTCGTTGGCAAAACTTTTGTTATATTTAAAAAGCAAATGTTGTTTGAATGATGTTTAAACATGGTAAGTAACCAAACTACTTACAAGCAATTGTAAACTCAATTCGTTCTCCTTTGTAAGGTTCATATTCTCAACAATTCACAAATTAGGATTTAAGTTTATCTTCGTCTAGCAGAGAATGCTAAAGCATGCACCAAATAGAAACGAAGAGAAATGATCACAAATTAGTATAGCCCCGCATCTTAATCGGCTCCTTAAAAGACAAAAGCAAAAATCAAAGAGATGAGAGAGTTTTAATATGTATCTTTCTATTTTTGTTTCTGTTGAATTAGGATAAAAGAAGTTAAAGAAGTTCAAAAGCTCAAAGAAGCAGTTGGGGAATTAAGCACAAACACAAAGTTACTTCTTTTCCAGGGCTTTTCTTTTCTCATTTCAAGGGTTAAGTTGCTTCCAACTTGCCATGCAAATCAATCGAAGAGAAATGGGAAATCCATGGTGTTGAGTACACTTGTAAAATACGTAACATGTGGTGAAAGTGGGCAGAGGACCACAACACCAGCCCACAAGGCCTGTAGAGAGGAGGAGGCCTATTTCTGTTCAGGGTTAACGAAAGAAGCTTAAAAGCTTCAATTGACATTTCTGGAAAACAATTAATGGAACCCAAAAGTAGTGACCCTTCTCAAGTTTGGGCTTAAAGGGCTAGCTCCAATACAATCCATATATTAAGCTCTTCAAGGCTGAGGACTTGCACTTGCGCTTTCTGCAGGAGAAAAATTTCCACTTTATGCACCCATAAACATAAAGCTACAATATACAGGACAAGTTAAAATAAGAAACTTTCCCGGGCTTTTCTTTTCTCATGCTCTCTCTCTGACAGCCATTTCCTCAAAGATAATCTTTCATTGTCCAGATATTAGATGCATTATTTCGTCTTCAACGCTTCAATTTTCTTCGATCTTTAATACCTATTCCATATTTCCAGATTTCAAGGACCGGGTTCCAAGTATGAAGCCTTCAATTAATTAAGTGATCGTATATCAATTCTTTAAGGACGAGTGAAGAACTGATTTCGAAGCAATTTCCCAGAATTTCGAAGCAACTTCTCACTCCCAGAAAGAGTGGACGACTGATTTCGAAGCAATTTCAGTCACAGACTCACAGACAGACCTCTGAGGCTCTGACCTACTCGCTGCAGGCTGCACTTCAGCATCCCCTGCACTGCACCATCCGGCGTCCTGCGTCCACCACCAGAGTCCCAGAGTCCCAGACCCAGACCAGTTGGACCAACCAGACCTTCAGACCCTGCAGAGTGCATACCCAGGGCCAGACCATTGTTGTCCCCGTTCGATTCTTTCCCTCAGCCTGTCAGGTCTAAACGCCGCTCCCTATAGACTTTTTTATTTCAATTTTCTTATTTTTTTCACTTTAATTTTGTTTCAGAGAAATTGAATTGTAGTATTTTTACAAATTTGTTTTAGGTAAAGGCTAAAAGCAGGTGAATTTTTTCATGTTACTGGCACGTACCTTGTCTGGCTGTTGAAGCCTCTCAAACATTTGAGAGAGGTGCCTTTCTTAAAAAAATAATCTTGATAGCTCGTGGCTCTGGTTTTGGAAATTAGGCACCTTTCTCATAGATTTAAGTCTTCCTGATGCTGTATTAGTTTGTTGGGTATAATTATATTCAATAGCTGAGTGTCGAACAAGACGATCTTACTTCAGTTCTTGCTCTGTGGCACCAGGTAATTATGTTCTGGTACAGGTAGATGAAATTATTTGCATGTGGGTAGTAAGGAAAGCAGAAAAATGCTCATATGAAATTATTTGCATGTATCATGTATTAAGATGATATTGAGCGTGCACCCAACTGGGGAACTAGTGTTGATTGTGATGATGATTTTGTGATATTCACTGATATTCTTTCTTTGCATGGCAGGATATTTCATACTACGATGGGGGCTGCTCAAATACTTGCGGCCTGTCTCGCCATCCTTATTTCGTCCTTCGGTGTCCATGGTAACGTTTTCTCACTAGAGAGAGCGTTTCCTAGGAGTCACCATATCGGACTTGACGAGCTCCAAACTCGTGACCGAACCAGGCAGGCCCACCTTTTTAAAAGAGTTGTGGGTGGTATAGCCAACGTGTCAGTGGTATATGAAGATTTCTACGGTCCTGAACATGTCGGGTAACTGTTTAATCTCGTAGGACTTTGAGCTTTTAAATTAAATAAATTGAATCTTTCTTACTTGAAAAAATAAAGCAGCAAGAACTCTGTTATTGACCCCAAGTTTTGATACTGATTTTTTTTTTTTCCAAGTAAGTTTTTGTTTGTTATAAGTGTCTTAATTTCCGTTGAATTTGCAAATTTTTTGCTTTAGCCGACATTGGTTGGGAAAGTTTTTATTTTGATTTAATTTCTTAAACGATGGGTGTTTATTATTTGCTTAATTTAAAGCTTGCACAATCTCCATATAATGCTGCCGATATAATCTTTTGTTTCAAAGTTCACTATATTTGGTTAATGATTCTGAGGTTTCTTTGTATTCATTTTTTCTTTCAATCACTCCTCTATTTTAGTCTCTTGGTAAGATTGAATGGTTAATGGTATAAAAACTTGAAACTTTTTTTTCATTTTCTGTTCTTGCATGAAATCACTAGGGTGTACTTGACAAAAGTTAAACTCGGCTCTCCACCAAGAGAATTCTATGTGGAGATCGACACAGGGAGCGACGTGCTATGGGTTTCATGTTCATCATGCAAAGTTTGTCCTCGGCATACTGAGCTCGGCGGAGTAAGTTTTTGCTCATTTTTTAGCATATTTGACTTTTCTTTGGTTAAATTTCAATGACAATGATTCAACTAAACAAATTTTTATACTTGTGGAAGCTAAAATACCCCTAGCAGAATTTCGATGCGACTTTTAGGAGCTCTTATACCTTTGAGTGTCCCTGGTTAGAGTGGTTCTATTTAAAATTTTAAAACTAGCATTCATCTGTGTTGGTAGGTGGTACACCACGCAATAAATTTCATCTTTCAATATTTTAGTTGTGTATAAAAGTAAACATTAGGGTACACTACTGTGTGTGTCCCCCCAACCCAATTGACAATACTGACTGAGATGGCCCGAACCGCAGTGGTGTCGTATTTGGTGAAGAAAAAGGTTTCCTGTTCCTTGGCCGCAATGCTGTGTTAAGAACTTAAGATCCACGGTTCATTGGGCCAAAGTCCGCAGTCTTGGCCCACTCTTACTCCAATCCGTCAGTCTTGGTCTTTTGAATAATAGTCGTTAGAGTAGTAGAAACAGAACACTCATATCATACTTATATTCAAACATCAGGACATCAGGCATACTAAACGTTGTATGCCATGTTAATCTACTCAAATTATTTGATAATTATCCTAAATAATCTATGCATGTTACAGCTTTCGTTCAATTTCTACGACCCTGCCAACTCATCCACCGCTCGCCCAGTTCCTTGTTCCGACAAGTTGTGCAAAGCTTCTTTAGAGACCGAATGCTCACATCCGACAAAACAGTGCAGATATAATCTGAGATATGCAGACGAAGATGAGATAGCCGGGTATTACATGTCGGATGAATTATATTTTGACATGATACCGGTTCAGTCTCATGTTAAAATTGAGTCTTCAGCGACCGTTGTTTTCGGGTGAGCTATCTTAACCTTTCTTTTCTAACAATCAACATTAAGAGAGAAAAACAGAACGAGAAATTTTTTTTCATGTTGTCTATTGTTGCATTGAAGCTAAACTCTTATTGGTTTGGTAATCAAATGGATTGGAAACAGGTGTAGTACCTCCGTGGCTGGGCTTTTGGAGGGAACTATAGCTTCAGTCAACGGAGTATTTGGATTTGGCCAAGGACTAATGTCAGTTATATCACAGTTGTCTTCTCAAGGGGCAACTGCTAATGTGTTCTCCCATTGTTTGAAGGGAGATGACAATGGAGGGGGTATACTCGTTCTTGGTGAGATTTTAGAGCCAAGTATCGTTTATACCCCTCTTGTCCCAACAGTGTATCTCTCTCTTCTTAAAATTTATTTTATTTAATTGAAAATTTTGGGATAGGATGTTTGATTTGTGAATCATCTTCTTGATTAGTCCACTTGTCTTCTCGTCATTACATGTCAATTAGTTGGGTATGTTAGTCCATTAAGTAGCTGAGTGGTTTGGTTGAGCCTTGGCTTGCAGTAGTGTGATATACTGACTTCCTTGGTAGCCCGGGAGTCTGAAATGAATGTTGGAGAACAATCAGATTTCTATGTATTCTAACAGAACACTGAACTATCAATAGTAACACTAACAATTAACAACGAGATTTGCAAAGATTTTTTCTTAAATAGAGTTTAGAATTCACGAGAAACTGACTTGAATGGTTGATAGAGGCTAACAGACTTGCTAGATGCTAATTCCTACAGTTCCAACTCCAACTACATGTCCTAAGTTTATAAGGACTAGTAGAAAGATATAGCTTTCCAGTTAATGTAATAACTAGTTGCTAATTATTATTTCAGGCACCCCTTTTATCAAATTAATCTCGAAACTATTTCTATCAATGGTCAAATCGTGCCCATTGATCCGGCAGCGTTCACACCATCACGTGACCGAGCAACAGTGGTTGACTCGGGAAGCACTCTTGGATATATTGCGGAAGAGGCCTATGATCCGCTTGTTCATGCTGTAAGTTTGCATTCCATTTGACTTTTCAGTTCAAGTTTCCTTCCAGTTAAATTTATATAGTGTGGGAGGAACGTATAGTTAAATTCATATCCTTAGTAAAAACTGATTTTGGTTTGTCTGTCTAGATAACTTTGTCTTCAAAGTATGTGAGTCCCTTCCTTTCACCATCAGGAAAACAATGCTATCTAGTTTACACCAGGTTCTCTCTCTCTCTCTCTCTCTCTCTCTCTCTCTCTCTCTCTCTCTCTACCTCTCAAAGGACTTTGAAATGAATGACATTGTCTACTTTTTAGTGTGGCCGAGGCATTTCCTACGGTTAGTCTTAATTTTGCTGCTGGTGCATCTATGGTTTTAAAACCAGAAGACTACCTTTTGTATAAGGGACCTGATCAGGTAAGTTTTCCTCCAGGCTCCAGCTTATTTTGTAAAGATATCTTATTTCGAGTGGAAGTAATACTGTTGCAAAATGTACGGAATTAATAAGTGCATTCTTTTGTCACAGAATGGTTCTATTATATGGTGCTTTGGTCCCCTTAAATCTGAGGGAGAGAACCGTGGGTTCACAATTTTAGGAGGTTAGTTCTCGAAACAATGTTATACATGTTATTATAATGCTGCTGTATGGATTTTCAATTTAATACATCTCTCCGCACCATTTTAGAGTAAAAACACCAAATCTCAGTAAAATCATCAGAAAGCATTCTGCAATACATAGATATTGTATAACAAATATAAGGTTCCCTGCTACAATACTATTTGTGCTTATATAAGTTACATGACATAACAATGAAGTATAGAACTTATGCGAACAAAACGAACTAATTTAGTCCTCATTAGAACCGAGCATCCAATTACTTTTAATGCTCTTCTCGCTCATATTTTTCAGCCTAAACAGTAAAGTGTCGAACAGATTCATACCAAAAGCCACCAAAGTTAATCAACAAGCTTCAAAATGTGTATTGATTGGTTACGACCCCATAATTTGCTAAAATCCACACATAGAAGTGTCTAAACGTGTCATATCACAGACAAAAGCCCCCAAAATTATCTCCAAGGTTTACCGCACAAGAAAAATCTATAGAAACAAATAGAACTCTTACTCATCACGCAGAGAAGGGTGCGTGTTGTGTAGTGTTCTTTTGCTAGAGTTGGAGAGAGGGGTCAGGATTTGCTGCCTCTTTTTGTTTTGGCTTAATATAGTTGTCCCAGTGTTCATAGTGTTTGTAAGTTAGACAGTGTTACAGTTTACGGAATGAATGCTACCGTTAATCCTTCTGATATACTTGTTTGAAATGTGTGTCCTCGATTGCAGATCATGTTCTAAAGGACAAAATTGTGGTATATGACATAGGCCGTCAGCGGTTGGGATGGGCAGACTACAATTGTAAGATCATAAACTTTGGAAAGATATCCTCTTCGGATTCTTTTCTCTTAATTCATCAAATTATGGGATCCGGACTATTGAAATTTGATCCAACGGCTACAGTTATTATAACTTTTCGCTTTTTCTCGTTCCCCATGAACCTGAAACATATCGATCTAATTAAATAAATCGTTTCAAATTCTCTTTCCAGGCTCGTTGCCGGTAAATGTTTCTGTAGCTTTACATGGGAGAGATCCGACTGGGAGCAGCTCATCTAGAAACCTACCGTTCGAGCAGCTAAATACTGGGATTCTACTTTTCTTCATGCATTTATTTATCATATTTATGTGAGACCCCATAGACATGTGGGTAGGTTATTAATGAATGATGACAAACGAATTGGTATTAAGTTTTTTTTTTTTTTTTATAAAAAATAGCGTTAGTGAGTTAAATTTATATTTGTTAGGAGGGATAAGTGAAGATCTATTATTGGTGTTAAACTTTTTATAAAGGATAACATTACTTGGTTATTCTACATTAATCAATATCGTATTATTATTGGTATGACAATAAAAATATCCTACCTTCATTTAATTAGGGCAAATAATTAACTTAAAAATGATAAATTATTTAACGATATCTGGTTTGATTCAATATGGATGTAAACCACGAGAAAATCTCTTTATTCCAAAAATGTACCAAGTCTTTTTCTCGTTTCTTTATTTGTTTGTGGTTTTCACATAAAAATTAAAAAGGAAAAAGGAAAAGGAAAAGGCTGGTATTTGGATGTGATTTGCAAATTAATTTGGCCATATTTTTTACCATTACGGTTCCATAAATTTATTGCTCGCAAATCCTAAACCACGAGAAAATCTCTTTATTCCAAAAATAGACCAAATTTTTTACTCGTTTCTTTATTTGTTTGTGGTTTTCACATAAAAATTAAAAAGGAAAAAGGAAAAGAAAAAGGCTGGTATTTGGATGTGATTTGCAAATTAATTTGCCCCTCTTTTTTGCCATTACGGTTCCATAAATTTTATTGCTCGCAAATCTCTTTACATTAAAGACTACAATCTATCGAGATACGTAATTATTGACACAATTTGAACTTTCAAGTATATATAATCATGAATTAAGAAAGAAGTATCAGAAATTTTATAGCACAAAACAAGTCTAAAAATTGTTATATCTTCTGCTAGTAATTAACAAATTGAATTGCCATGGAGAAAGGTTCACTCAAGTTAGCTTTCCTCATAACGGTGTTGATTGTTGCATCTCTTGGTACCATATTTCTTGACTAATTTTTTTTTTCACCCATTTTTTCTCATATATTTTTTTTTTTTAATCTATCTTTTCTCTTTCATCCTTGCAAATTTTCCGCATATATAGCATAAGAGCATGTATATTTTTTATTTAATAATACAAATTATATTCGTGGCAGGTGTGAATCTTGGAGTCGACGCAACTGATACTCATATTCCTGGTGTCTGCAGACAACCTAAGGAATGTGATGGCCATAATTGTCAATGCATCGGTCAAAGATGTTATTGTTCTAGTGAAGGAGTGAGAAAGTTCATGTTTAAAGACTCTTCTACACAATTGCAAGAGTAGAAGAAAATTCCGTAATCAGAAATCTTCAATTCTTGCATTGACATCTTAAAATATTTACGATGCAATAAAGCACACAAGTTGTTGATGCGAAGACCATTTAAAAATAAATAAAATAAACTTATTATTCATTATTTAGTTGTGACTTCATTGTATGTATATTAATAAAATGAAAAATACGCTAAAATGACATAACTTACATACTCAATTTAGATGGATAATAATAATACAACATATGTTGCTTGGTTCAAAATTGATATGGCTAAAAGTTAACAATGGGGCATGTGTTATATCCCTATTGCCACATATTATTGAGTACGATTATGGGTCATCAAATGATATCAATCGCTATTGGTCAAGGATCCATGTAAGAAACAATTCTCAACGTTAGCTATATGCAGTGATAGTATTTATCGAATAGTAATTAGTAGGACGTTTTATGTAATATTAGACCATTTTATTTATATTGTGCTTAGTATTAAACTGGATAAAAAATGTCAAAGAAAAAAAACAAATTTCAGAAAATCATGACAGTTAAAATGAAGAAGAATAGAGATAAGTAAACAATAATAATTGAAAAAAAAAAACAACTGTCACGGACAAAAATCCAGAAGAAGGGAAGAAACAAGACCAGGGAGCCGCCCAGCACTCACCACCGCCACCATACCATTGAAATCAAAAGCTCACATTCCATTACTCCTTGCAATCACTGCCACCAAATCTCCATGGTTTCTAATCTATTGAAATAAAATACACAGATGAAACTTTCCCAATTTTGAGTTTAATTCCCTCACAGCAAAAAACTACTAATTAATTAATCCCAAAATCCAAATGAATCCCTCAATTATCCATCTGCCACCATGGGTATGAAAATGAAGACGTCGTTGTGGCTGCTAGAGCGGCGGGACTGTGGCTACACGCAGTCTAGTTTAACGACTTTCAAGATCTTTTTCTGGTTTGTTGGTCGGTAGGAATAAGTTTCATGGCTAGGTTATTCGCCGGACGGAAAGCTAGAGAATTGTTGTTGGGTTGGAGAAGAAAAAGGAAGAACGACATTATAATTTCCCAATTGAGATGTTCAGACAAGTTCGTGAGAGAAAGGAAAGAGAACGTGAACATCGGATTAAATAAGTGGAATCGGTTAAATAATCTAGTGCTTATTTAGTATAGAAGGGCACCAAACGACTAGATTCGTATTATTAATCAAATCTGATACCTTACACGAACCGTCAAACGAGACCGTAGTAAGTTAATACAATGCAGTACTTTTTTTTGTTTCATGATGTGAATCAATAATTTTAGATTTCCAGTGCATTGGAGTTAGGAGATGCCCTGGCTAACCACAACTCTCTTCTTTGGATTTTTGCTGCATTTGTGGGATGGGATTAGAAAATGAAGTCTGCGCAGTTCTAACGTATGTTTTAACGTATGTCTTAAATTAGAGAGACATGATACTACTTTGACATTTTATCTGAAATCACAGGCTTTAACGTATGTTTGAATCCAATTCCCACACAATCATAAATTCAGCTCAACCACAGATTATCCCTCTGTCCGTCTGTTGGTTATGACCACATCCTTCTGATCAAATTCTTCTATGTTGTCTATATCTCGTATGCAACATTTCAATTAAAATAAACTTCTTTAGTCTTGGGCTTTTGTAATTTGTACAAGGGATATTAGTTGATCAAGTTACACTTACCGGTCCAAATATGAGATTGGCAGACCGACAACTTCACCGACCACCATTTACGGAAAAAGAAAATAAATAAAAAAGATTATTATTGGTCAATCTAAAATTTGTATTATGCACTCCACACAAATGTATTTTTTTTTAAATAAAAAATTTAAAATGTAAGATGAAAATTTTGAAGTACCAATTATAATTTTAATAAAAATGATACGATATTTTTTCTTGACAGGTACTATTGAAATAAGTGCGAAATTCAACTATATGTCATTGTATACTAGCACTCTTGTTAACAACAAAATAATCTGGATAATTTTGGACGTCATGTTATTTAAGGTATAGAATATAACTAATATAGTTTGAAATCTGCGTCGATTGACTTATATATACCACTACAGTTCAATTAATTTTTATATTTATCAAATTATTTGAGATATGAAACAGAATTAATATGGTTTGCAATTTTTTACCATTACGGTCGATAAAATTTATTACTCTCAAATCTCATACATGAAAAAATACAATATATCGAGATACGCAAGTATTGAAACAATTCTCAACTTCAGCTATATTTAATCGTGGATTGAGAAAGAACTCTCAGAAGTTTTATAGCACAATACAAGTCTAAAAATTGTAATATCTTCCTCTAGTAATTAACAGATTGAATTGCCAATTTGCCATGGACAAAGGTTCACTCAAGTTTAGCTTTCCTCATTACAGTGCTGGTTGTTGCATCTCTTGTTACCATATTTCTTGACTACTTTTTTTTTTTCACCCATTTTTTTCTCATATGTTTTTTTGTATCTTTTCTCTTACATCTTGCAACTTTTCCGCATACATAGCATAATAGCATGTATATTTTTTATTTAATAATACAAATTATATTCGTGGCAGGTGTGAATCTTGGAGTCGAAGCAACTGATTTTCATATTCCTAGTGTCTGCAAACAACCTAAGGATTGTGATGGCCGTAATTGTGAATGTATCGGTCAAAGATGTTATTGTTCTAGCCAAGGAGTGAGAAAGTTCATGTTTAAAGACTCTTCTACACAATCGCAAGAGCGGAAGAAAATTCCGTAATCAGAAATCTTCAATTCTCGCATTGACATCTTAAAATATTTATGATGCTATAAAAACATACAAGTTGCAGATGCAAAGACTATTTAAAAATAAATAAAATAAACTTATTACTCGTTATTTAGTTGTGACTTTATTGTATGTATGTCAATAAAATGAAAATCCGCTAAAGTGACATAAAATTTGACATAACTTACATACTCAATTTAGATGGACAATAATAATACAACATATGTTGCTTGTTTCAAAGTTCATATGGGCTAACAATTGACCATTGTATCTCACGTTGGTTTTTTCTATATTTTTATCGTCCATACTTTAGTCCATTGCATTTTTTTCTAGTGTTTGTGTTACCAAGTGAAGGTGATGTTGGTGTTCATGGGAATGGGTCTTCTGGTCGGGATTGGGATGGTAATACTCTTGGTAATACCAATGATTTTTTTGGAAAATATGTTGCACTACCACCACAAACATATCTATCTCACTAGTGGAAAACTGATATTAATCGGGTTGGTCAAAGGTTTATTGGAGGAGAAGGGGGATGTATCTAATTTAAGAGTTAAACTCCATAAATATTTCAATGAAAAAGGGTTTAGTATTGTATTTTTAAAAAAAAAGAAAAGGAGAGGGTGATAGCTGAGACCCCATAAATATTTCAGTGAAAAAGGGTTTAGCATTGTATTTTAAAAAAAGAAAAGGAGAGGGTGATAGCTGAGTGTTCCAAAATTTGTCTACTGCTCAGTGCCACAAATCTTGTGGTATTTTTCTTCATTTGGAAGTGAGAGATTTTAAATTCAAATTTCGTGGATGACGAATTTAATTCCATATTAGGTTGTTCATTGTGTGACTGAACCGAACTTATCATTCTTTTAGTGTAAAAATATTGATGTTTTAAAAAAAAAAAAAAATCAATTGACCATTGTAAACAAAGGGGCATGTGTTATATCCCTATTGCCACATATAATTGAGGACTATTGTGGGTCATCCAATGATATGAATCATCATTGGTTAAGGATCCATGTAAGAAACTATTCTCAACATTCACTATATGCAGTGATAGTTTCTTAGATTTTCGTGCATTGGCGTTAGGAGATAGGAGATTTTTCAATGTGGTCGGTATACGGAATAGTACATCACG